AGTTAGGCCTGTCGCAATAATCAATATATCGACTTATCGCGCAATATATGTCCATGACCTCAATAATTTTTGGTGACGCAATATATTGCACATTATATTTACTTAAAACTTAATGTCACCATGTTTTGTACATTCCACTTGCGCCTGTGTCTTTTGCAGCTTCTCGTACATAATGTGGTGTAGAGGTGCTAGTTTCATCTGCAGATATGGTCTTGTTTAGAGATCTGTGTCTTTGTGCATACGGACATCTGACTGCTAAGTAGTGATTGTGTTTTTCAGCAATAGTGTGCGCCCTTAATTTACAGAGAAAAGAAGGTCAGGGACAAATCTGTAGATGAGAAAAGTCTCCAAAGTTAAAAGTCTTTGTGCCTTTTTCTTTTTTTTTCTACTTGTTACTTTGCACTTTTTGTTAGAAAATGTTTATTTACTATTTACGCAGTTTTTTTAAGGTATCTAATATTTTGATAATTTCCATGATCTAAATATTCTTAAAAATTAAAAGTTCGTTGTCATTTGGAAGTGTGTAGACCTTCTTGCATTATTATGCTGTTATATTATGATTATATATTCAGTTGCATAAAATGGTCTTTAAAATGACGCTTTAAAATATCGCTTATCGCAATTATTTCTGGGGCAATATATCGCACAACAAAAAGTTGTTATCGTGACAGGCCTAATTGCATCATTATAAACCTGCCTGTCACCGCACTCATCTTACCCTGCCAAGAACGTCCACAGGGAGTTTAGAATTGAGGAGCACTGGTTTGACCTTATCGCCCGTGAGCATGCCGCCCACTGGAGAGAGGCTGTCGAAGATGGCATCGAATTTCAGCTTCTCCTCTGCCTATATGACACCGCGACACACAAACATTCATAAATGAGCAATTAAGTAACTGGTGCATTGAACTGAAAGTGCAATCTAATTTATGACTAATTCTAATGACAGCATTTATTTAGCAACTCGATTCTAAATAACCAAAAATCTATTGATGATATCTGACCTTGACAACCCATTGGCAGTCCGTGGGCACGGGGCCAAACTGAAGAGGACTGCTAGTGTCATGCTAGACAGGAAGCAGAAGAACAGTCATTAATTCACAAGAGACATAAAGCGGTTTCCACCACATAAGCAAATAAAATCACCAACTCAGCAGCTTTTAAGTCATTGGTAATTATACTGTGAGGGAAACGTGATGTCATTTTCCTGATCTGGTGAAGAGGAAGAGGAAGTTAAGGTCTGACTTACAAACTTTGGGGGAGGGACAGCAGCATTTAAGCTCTTAAGAGACACTTCAAGTCCATTCTGAGCACATGCCACCAAACGGAGGGCGACAAAAAATTGCTGAGAAGTGACAAACAGACAAATATAGTTGAGAATGTATTGCTCAAACAACTTTTCTCTCAACTTTTTTTATGTACCTTGATATTAATGCTTTTTAAAATACCTGCTTGTTTAGCGAGCCTTTGCAATCTGAATCTGCTAAGTCCCATATCTGTGGAACAAAGAAGAAAATTAGACATAAGCATAAAAATGTTTTTAAAAATAATGTGTAATGTAACACAAAACTAACACAACAGACTGCATAAAATCAATACAGCAATATAAAGAAGGTAATTCAATTACACCATCTATCGTTTTCTATTTAAGTCATCTTGATGTTTCCAGCACTCGTCAATCAATTGACTGCTTTGCATTTCCCACACTGCTATATTGGAGGCATGCTAACTGATGTTACCTTGCCAAGGACCAGGTCTGTAAGGCCAGATCTCTTTAAAAATAAGGCTGCATCAGTAGCTCCTACACGCCCACTGCTGGACGGATCTACCTGTAGTGGAATAAAGCATACAAAATTATTTAAAGTTTGGGGTCTGTAAGGTTTTTGAAAGTCTCTTATGCTCAACAAGGCTGCATTTATTTGATCAAAAAGCCAGCAAAAACTGTAATTTTATGAAATATTATTACAATTTAAAATAACCATTTTCTTTCTGAATATATTTTAAAGTGTAATTTATTCCTATGACGCAAAGCTGAATTTTCAGCAGCCATTACTCCAGTCTTCAGTGTCACATGACCCTTTAGATATAATTCTAATATGTGACCCTGGACCACAAAACCAGTCATAAGGGTCAATTTTTCGAAACTGAGATTTATACATCTTCTGAAAGCTGAATAAATAAACTCTCCATTGATGTATGGTTTGTTAGGAAAGGACGATATTTGGCCGAGATTCAACTATTTGAAAATTTGGAATCTGAAGGTGCAAAAAAATCTAAATACTGAGAAAATCGCCTTTAAAGTTGTCCAAATGAAGTTCTTCGCAATTCATATTACTAATCAAAAATTAAGTTTTGATATATTTACAGTAGGAAATTTACAAAATATCTTCATGGAACATGATCTTTACTTAATTTCCTATGATTTTTGGCATAAAAGAAAAATCTATAATTTTGACCCATACAATGTATTTTTGGCTATTGCTACAAATATACCCCAGCGACTTAAGACTGGTTTTGTGGTCCAGGGTCACATACGTTGATTTGGTGCTCAAGAAACATTTCTTATCATCATCAATGTTGAAAACAGTTGTGGTGCTAATATTTTTGTAGAAATCATGATTTTTCAGAATTCTTTGATGACTACAAAGTTCAAACCAATTTATTTGAAACAGAAATCTTATGGAACATTATATATGGCTTTAAGCAATATATCGTGATATCAATTTTGGCCATATCGTCCAGCCCTACCCTCAAGTCATCCTAGGTGTATATGACTTTTTTCTTTCAGACGAATCCAGTCAGAGTTATATAAAAAACTGTCTTTGATCTTTCAAGCTGTTTAATGCCACTCAGCGGGTGTTGCATGCATCAGTCCAAAAGAAGTTAAATAAAAAGCGCCCATCCATTAAAAAAAAAAGTGTCCCACACGGCTCCGGGGGGTGAACAAAGGCCTCCTGTAGCAAAGCGATGCGTTTTGTAAGAAAAATATCCATATTCAAATGACCTAGGATGACTTGAGGGTAAGTAATTTGTGGGCTAATTTTCATTTTTGGGTGAACTAACCCTTTAAGGTGTATTTCACTGTCATATTTCACTGTCACTGTCTGATATCTCAGATCATTATTTAGTCTTGTGCAAACTTCATATAGCTAAAACTGTAAATTCTAATCCTTGTTACAAGTATGGTAGAACCATCACTTCTACCACAAAAGACTGCTTTGTAAGTAATCTTCCTGATTTATCCCAATTCCCTAGCATTTCCAAAACCTCAGAACAACTTGATGATGTAACAGAAACTATGGACACTATGTACTTGCTACATCGTTAGAAGAATGGCATCTACGCTAATATTAGTCTGTTTCTCTCTTATTCCGAGGTCACCGCTGCCACCAGATCCAGTCTGGTCCAGACTTTTGTCTGGTCAGAGGAGAACTGGCCCCCCGACTGAGCCTGGTTTCTCCCAAGGTTTTTTCTCCATTCTGTCACCGATGGAGTTTTGGTTCCTTGCCGCTGTCGCCTCTGGCTTGCTTAGTTGGGGACACTTCATTTCCAGCGATATCGTTGACTTGATTGCAAATGATTGCAAAGATACTATTTAAACTGAACTGAGCTGGATGATGACATCACTGAATTCAATGATGAACTGCCTTTAACTGAAAAATTTGTGTTTACTATTGTCATTTTTGCATTATTGACACACTATTTTCCTAATTAATGCTGTTCAGTTGCTTTGACACAATCTGTATTGTTAAAAGCGCTATATAAATAAAGGTGACTTGACTTGACTGTATATAAAAGAAATTAACAATCAAACACAATCTGAAAAATGAATCAGGACCAATGCAATGCACAGATGCTTAGCTGGAGAGATTCAGTCGAATGAGAAATCAGTAGCAAGATGTTTAAACCAAATGCTAGTTCAAACAAGCTGCTTCACTCACCATGTCCTGTTCGGTTTGCAAAAGTCATCACTAATTCATAGCGGCATCCTCTTACTGAGCGAAAGACACTTACGGGGGACAGAAGCCTCAGAGTGCTTTTAGCTCAAACTGACAGTGCGGTGAGGTTTATATTTCTCTTCTTCCGCTACGTGCTCTATAATGGCAAAGCGAAACATGACACAGAAAAAGCTGATTAAATGCTTACCTGTCGATAGTATTTCTCATAGACAGGATTCCCACTTGAAAGCTGCAACCAAATAACACAAAACTTGGTTAAAATCAAGCTGAAGACATTGTTTATTCTCTCTAAAACAGGTCATACTGATGAAACTTTGAATCAAGACATAAATAAGCCAATTAAACAGCATTTTCTTCTAAACTGTTGACTTTCTTGGCAGCATTGATGCATTCAGGCCTCTGAGAAGGAAATGTTACAGCCATCTGGCAACCAGGTGAACATTTATAAAATGGCATTGTGAAAACATTTCAAGTACTTACACACCTTTGTCGTATTTAAAGATGTTGATTATACACCCATTCACACATAAACGGAGGCTTTCTAAAGTCTTCTGCCATTCTCTGCTGTGCACAACACAAACACTGAGCTTTTGTTGAGTTGTGATTCACAAAAGTCGGGCAGAGTAACGCACATTTGCGCAGCTGACCTCAAGCCAAACCATCGACATCGGGTTTAGTCATGGCCTAAAGGCTAATTTATAACATATGGACGGATCAAGTGAATTCAAATGCATTATGGAGACCAAATCATGATTGTTAAATGTTTTTTTTAGTAATCGCCAACCCCTCTGCCAATCAAAAGCTATTAGGAGCTCATAGGATCTTTCACATCAGACATCTGCATCACCATGAAGCATCAAATTGCTTTTCTGGCCATGTTAGACTAAGTTCTTCCAGAACCCAACTGTTTTTTAAATTGTAGTTCAACAGCTCTGTCGGTCTCCCATCAGGTGGTTACTGGTGCATGCTAATGCGATGTTGGCACACAATATTCAGCAAAGTGCCACCAAACATTTCCTTGCCCCGCTGAGAAAGGAGTAGGAGTTTTTGTTGTGCTTCTTTATATATATATAAAAAAAAAAAAAACTCCAACCACTTTGGCCTTTCAGGCTGTTCTGATTCCAACTCATTTCCTGAAACTTATTCTGGCATGTTCTACTTAAAATGACCACACTCCTACAAAGCAAAGACTTAGTAAACCATGATTAAACATACAACAAAAAATACCATCAACTAAATCACCAAAATTATCTTGGCATCCTAATCTGTCTTTCTGTCATGCTGTCTTTACACTGCAAAGTCAACAAAGAAGCTAAATAAAAATATTACAAAAAGATGCATTTACAAATGCTTAAAAACATAAATCACAATTGCAGAAATAATGTGGTGAAAGTAATGCTACAAATATGATATTATGAAACATTAAATGATTCATAGAAATTATACTTTTTAAATAAAATGTAAAAAAAAAAATACAAAAAAATATTCAATGAAAAAAACCTAACATTCTAAAAATCAACATTTTGAATATGATCATGGTGACCCACTGGATCGTTTCGTGGTTGTTATATGCCTCCTTGCAATGTCTCAAATCATAACCTATCCTTCTGGAATCATAGAAAGCCAGACACACCGAAGACATATCAGACATGTCTTTCTTCCGTCTAAAGTCTTCTTGATGAGGTAATGCTGCAATGCATATTTCATGCATGTGCGCCTTGCTTCTAAAACTGAGCACACCATCAGCTGCATGTGGTCAACACTACAACCACCACTGCCATTAGAGAACAGTGTTATTCTTAAAGCAACAAAAGTAGACAAGACGGAAACTAAAGCGAGGAACATTTTAGACCATCAACCTAATCAATGCACGAATCCCTCTGGACTATTAAAACAGCTATAAGTGACTCTATGCATGTAATGAATATGTTGTCAAAGCCCTTTCGTACAGAAGACCAGCTGTACGAGTGTCACTGAAGCTATTTCATTAATATTTCACTATACACAAAGAACACATCGGAAATAAGTTCATATTTATCTGGTTTGAGATTTCTGACTCATTACGATATTATTAAGACAGATTTTACTCGCCTATAACCTTTTTTGAAGGTTAATGATCTGTTTAGCCAGTTAGCGAGTGTCAAATGCTTTAGCTAGCTGGCTACTTAGTTTACAGACTGTAGATAAGAAGCAAAAAGTTGTTATGGGTAGAATCATGAAGTCCACAAAAGTGAAAAATACACAAATATGACTGCAATAGTATAGTACATGCCACATTTGCATAAAATAACGACTAGTTCCTATTTATTAATATATGAAAAGAGAAAAAGCAAAGCTAGCAGTGAAGCAAAACTTCCTGCTGCTTTTTTCAATGCCTCTAGAAACACCCAGCATAGTTTAACGCACTAAAACACACCAGTAATCCAAACAACAAGTGAAATACGTTCTTAATATTATAATTTAAGAGTTATTTTGACATAAATTGAAGGAGCATTCGTCATTGCTCCTCTGTTAAGTTTTAATGTAGGCAAAGACACATGATTTCACAAGCACTTTCACACGTTCATAGCGGAGACATGTAAAAATACAAGCTGATCTAAAAAAGTACAGTAACTTTGGATGATCTCATGACACGCAAAAGCTGGAAAAATAAACTTTAGTTTATTTAATCCAGCCTCCAGCACTGACACACTAAGCTACGCCCTTACGCAAGTGCCTAAAAGATCACACTGAAACTTTTTCTCTGCCCAAGCAAATGGCTGAAAACAACTTTAAACAGCTGCGATCAGACAGCAGGGTGTGATAATTTTCCACCCTAAACCGCAAAAATAAAGTTTAACGGATCTGACAGACGTATGAAACGAGCTGGAAAGTGGGTTGGAGAGTGTTATATCTGTGTAGAAACGGAGGTTACCTGAGTCAAGGAGAGACTGGCAGCCATAGTGTTTCTGTTCCCACTAGTTCATCCTGCGTTGATAGGCAATGGGCAATATAGGGATGCTACAAAACCTGGTACTGGATTACTCTGTGGAATGATGCTAAATAAAACCCGGCTCTGGATTATTCAACGGATCTGTAGGCGGTGGGTAGCAAGCGATGTCACTGCAAAACTAGACACTGGAGTTCTCGGTGGATCAGAAGGATAAACAAAACCTGGAGCGGGAATTATCAGTGGATGAGGACTCAATGAAGTGTTCAGTTTGTAGTGCTAAACTCCAGAAAAAATAGAATTTCTCCTTTCCATTAGATTAGAAGTTTTATAATGGAGGTTTTCAATTTGTGTGTAAAAAAAAAAGTGTGTTGTTAATTTTCACATTTTGTTGAAATTCTAAAGCTGCTGTATCTTAAAAGATGAATTAAACAGTTTTACATTTTTATTTTATTTGACATTTTAAAACATGAATTGAAATTTACAAAGTGGTTTTATTTTCATTTTTGTTTGAATTAATACATTTATAACTCGTGTCTTCATCTTAATTTTAAGTGTAGTCCCCTATACTTGACAAAACACAGCTTAGATTTACTTGAAAACACACACACACACACACACACACACACACACACCCCACACTACAACATGTAATTTTAACCACAGCCCTATTTTACTCATAACTGAAAACCAATATTCTACAAAGTGCAAGTGAACATATATGCTGTGAAATTAATATATGCATTTATTATATTCATAAGATTATTGATTAATATTTCAAAGAGTAAAGTAATTAATTTACATCACATTAGCTATGTTTCCGTCACCCTGTTTTTATGCACATTTTGAAGCATCAGAAACGAGTAATGGAAATGCCAAATTTCAGGCAAAAAAAATCTCTTATTTTGCAAAAAAAAAGTTTTTACGCTCGCTTGAGGTGGTTTTTGTGCAAAAAAGGGCTAATGCGAATAATGGGAGCGGACTGATCTCGTTGCACAGCATCTGAAATGTTGTTATGGTCATTCTTAAATGCCCAGGCAAAGTCTGCCGTCAAAGTATTTCTGTATAATTGCTTCCCAGAACTGCCTTACACAACTGTGTTCCTAAACAGCAGGCATCCACCTCTGAAACCAATGACCATATTTATTGTGTTCTCTTTCATCATCTCGTGTTTAACATCCACCTATGGGAAGGGCATCCGTACCTGACCTCTGCAGAAGCATCCAATTGCACCAAGTCTGGCTAGACAGACAGAAGCATGCAGCCAATGTAAGGCCGCAACCCCATACCTGAGAGCATATAAGGCCTGCATGCACCGCTGTTCTCCAATGGAAATTCGCTTCTCGCGTTCTCCAGCGATGCCGTCTTAAAGTTTCCACGACTCAGTGCGTCAAGCTCGGCCTTTCTGACTTGGAAGGGGGACACATCATCCCTTAACTGGGCTGACCAGCCCAATCCTGCACTCTCTGAAATAAAGGTAATAAATAAACAGCTAAATAAATAAATACAAATAAACAGCTGTCACTGGGGCGGTACCTTTTCAAAAGGTACACTTTTGTAACTATTAGGTTCTAATATGTACACTTTAAGTACCAATATGTACCTTTAAGGTACCAAAATGGACCCTTTAGGTACAAATAAGTATATCTTTTGAAAAGGTACCACCCCAGTGACAGCTGCTGTACCTTTATTTCTGAGAGTATGCTTTCCCCTAAGAGAACATCTTTGCGGGCAACCTCCCATTGGCCGACAAACCAGCCAGTTCCGGCGATGATGACGACGCGGGTCTTCTCGGGGTCACAGAGGACGAGGAGGCCATACCGCCCTCTGGCGTTCCTGTGGCGTTCTTCTGGCGTTCCCCAGGCTAATGCCCCTGTGGCCTTACCCCAGTCCATCCTCCTGGACATGTGTGAACAAGCTGCCGCTCGCCTCAACATGTGGCTGGCGCCACAGTGCGCCACCGACCAGGAAAGGGACATTTACAATGGGAAGCCGCTCACATTCTGAAAGAATAAATCTCTTCCATCCTAGAAAAGGGAATGATTCAGGTGGTGCCCCCGAGTCTGATAAATCAGGGATTTTATTCTCGTTATTTCCTGGTTCCAAAGAAGGACGGTTCTCTCCGCCCCATTTTGGACCTCCGAGTGTTGAACAAACATTTTGAGGAAATACAATTTCAGAATGTTAGGATGATTCCAAGGGCCCAATGAGGGAGAGGGGCCCGGAACGTGATTTTTACAGAGGGGGAGAGAGATAATCCCTCTGTTATTTGCCCAGCCGTGGCGCCTCCCCCTCCGCACAGACCTATCTCAAGCGTAGGGAGATTTATCACCCACACCCAGACAGGGTGGCTCTCTGGGCCTGGCCCATGAGAGGACAAACTTAAACACACTAGGGCTTAGCTCGAGTATGGTTGCTACTATACAGAATGCCAGGGCCATTTATCAAGTTTATTTGTACAGCGCTTTTCACGATACAAATCATTGCAAAGCAACTTTACAGCAAATTAAGTTTCTACAATATTTAGTGGTAGCTTATCAGTGGTGACTGTCAATTAATGTACATATGGCAGAAATGTACGGAAAAATCCATTTAAGACATAATAAAACAGACGATGAACACTTTATACACGGTCCTTATATGGTTTTAAGTGGCAAGTGTTTGAAGGGTGGTGTGACGGGCGTGGTCTCACATCGTATTGGGGCTCAGTTGCTGATATTTTGTGTTTCCTACAAGACCTTATGGATAAATGCTGGTCCTTTTCCACAATTAAGGTCTACCGGGCGGCTATTTCTGCCTGTCATGTGGGCTTTAATGGCTCAACGGTCAGGCAGCATCCTCTAATCCGCAGATTTATGAAGGGTGCCTGTCGTTCTTTGCCAGTCATCAGGAGAACTGTTCCTGAATGGGACCTCTCCAAGGGATGCTTCTGCAGAGGTCAGGTACGGATGCCCTTCCCATAGGATCTCTCCATTCAATGTTTCAGAGAACCGGGGTTATGACAGGAACCTATTGTTTCGTCTGCTCGCTCGAGGCGCAAGTAATTTATTATATATAAAAATGATTATATTCAGTGGCTTCTCCTTCTTTTCTTAGTGATATTTGATGCCAGTTTATCAGGAAGTGATGATTTTGTTTTCTTTGACTTGTAATATTTGGTTCTTTGCCAGTCATCAGGAGAACTGTTCCTGAATGGGACCTCTCCATGGTGCTGGAGATTCCGTCTCAATATCCTGTTGAGCCCCTGGGAAGTATTTCCCTAAAGCTCCTGTCCTTCAAGTCAGCTTTGCTCTTGGCCTTGGCATCAGCTAAACGTGTCAATGAGCTACATGCACTCTCTGTGCATTCCTCGTGCACTAAATTCTCTCTTAGCGGAGATAAGGTTTTCTTTAAGCCTAATCCGGCTTTCACATCGGAGGTGTTGGAGTGGCACTTTGGCATATGAATCGAAGGGAGTGCAGCCCCCAGCTTCTCCCTATACGTTTGTGCATTACTACCGACTGGATGTCACCAAAACCTTGGAAGCATATTCTGTTTTAGGGGTGGGGTCTTCATAACCCCTCCTTGTTACCTTCCTTTTTCTTTTCCAATTACACATTGTAATAAAGAAACATAGGGTGAATGGGCCAGCAAACCACGCACATTCATATCAACAAGCATGTATTTACAGTACATTCTTGCCAGGGTGTTTATATATGTGTTGTTGGGTTTATTTACATGTGTGTACCCCATACATGTTTCATGTCCTGTATGTGCACAGCAGTTATATGTGCGCGTCAGGGTTGCCAGGTGCATGATTACGGGATGTGTCAGGCACCACCTCCTTGGGGCGACCGTCTTTCTCTGGCTTACAGAACCTCACTTTGAGTGTATTGGGCAGTCGGGGAGCTGTCCATGTCTCTCCCATAGGTGGATCTCGAACATGAGATGATGAAAGAGAACAATAGGTTACTGTCGTAACCCCGGTTCTCTGAAACATCAAGTGGAGAGATCCACCAGCTTTGTCCTGCTTGCTGCATGAGAAGTGAATATACTTACTGGAGAACAGCAGCGCATACATGCCTTATATGCTCTCAGGTATGGGGGTGGGGCCTTACCGGGCATTGGCTGCATGCTTCTGTCTGTCTAGCCAGACTTGGTGCAATTGGATGCTTCTGCAGAGGTCAGGTACGGATGCCCTTCCCATTGGTGGATCTCTCCATTCAATGTTTCCGAGAACCGGGGTTATCAATAACCTATTGTTTCGTCTGCTCGCTCGAGTCGCAAGTAATATATATATATATATACTACTTTTCTTAGTGATATTTAATGCCAGTTTATCAAGAAGTGACGATTTTGTTCTCTTTGACTCGTTGGATGGAAACGGTGATCATCCGCACGTTTAATGTGATATTCAAATTTTGTGCAAAAGTTAAATTTGCAACTTTGGATGGAAACCCGGCTATTGACTCAGCTGACAAAAACAAAAAACAAAACAAAAAAAACCCAGGAATCCTTGGAATAGATGACTGCCACATGTGCTGGTAATAATTTATTTAGTTAATGCTCTCAAAAACTAGTCAAAACATTACTCTTTTTGTAGTTTTATTATTGGACAGCAACTTTTATACCAGAGCTTTTCTTCTCAATATGTCAAGGAATGTCCTTCAAACGCAAAAAGTACAAACTATATCTTTAAAAAAAAGGTCACAATCTATTTTGCTGGGAGAAGTATCTGATTGAAGCAGTATAGCAGTGCAATATTCACAATGGCTGTGAAATCTCTGTTGGAGAGCAGAAGTGTTACTAGAACAGCTATGGAACTTTCCTCGCAACACCCTTGAAATCTCACAAGCTTTCCATTTTTCCACACTCCACAGATTTAGGGCCTGATTACCACATTTGCCAAATTAAATCAATCAGCAATTCAGTTACTGAAAAGAACCAAAGCAAACACACACAAGAGTTTTCTCATTTCAATTCTTCATTTCAACTTTTGGGAAATCAGGTGCATCAGAATTTGCTTGCTAACCAAGGCCAGATCAAAACTGAATCAGCTTGTGAGATCCAG